AAACTAGTGGATCTATTCAAATGATATATAAAAAGTTAACGAATTAAGTAATATATGCTCATAATATATTAATAGTATTGCATAATGTATTTAGCACATTGTATTTATTTTTTTTAACAAGGGAATTAAGTGGTGGTTAAGACAAACTGTCTTCTTCTGGGATTCAAATTCGGAACGTTGTCATCACGCCCCAAAGATGACCATTACACCTTAAAAGAGAAATACAGCTTAAGGTATCCCGTCAGATATTCTGCAGATATGGAACACAAAGATCTTACGGCCCTTCTGAGAATTGCGGGAAAGGATTGCCCACCTGGCGGCATCCGTATGCAACAAGCTGCTAAAGTCAGCCTGCCTTGTAACGCGTATAAGTCAAACTTAATGACAAACAAATCCTTCAGAACAAGATCCAGAAGTGCATCTGCAAAGTGAAACAATCAAAGACACCAACCAGTTTCAGTGCCTCGTTCAACGACGACAGCATTCAATCACAATTATATAACTGAGTCATCCTTGCCACTAGTGTTTTCAACGGCCTGTCTAGTATTTACACTGATTCAGGGATTCCCGCTACCACAAAAATAAAAATTTTCTTCAAAAAAGTTATAGCTTTCATGCTGTGAAGAGTTCATCCTTCCAATAAAAGACAAAAATATCTGGTTCTAAAACGAAACTTGGTTTGACATGTAAATAGAGTTACATACAGAGTTAAATAGATGTTGCCTATTCACCCATTACCCCCTATAAACCCAATTCACCCTGAATGCTCATTTATTCTCTTTCGGTCACAAGGGTTCTCAATAAAGGTGCAGATTATAAAAAAGAGAGTTAGTTTTATAGACTAGATGGCAGACTATGAACTCCCCACTCCAACGTTCCAGCTTTATATGCGCAAATAGAACCACTACACATGCCGACTAGCAGGACAGATGTAATATGAGAGTATATGATTGAGACAAGTCTGTCTATGGTTAAGCGTTTTGTTCTTAAATGAAGCAACCGGTGCCTTTCAATATAAGTAATCGAATGCTGTGAATAAAGGTTGAATGAGAAAGATGTTTTTGTGTGTTTCTACTTGAGATCATTTTCTCCAGCCGTTTGCTTATGCAGAACACCTTTGATTTGTCATATTCACTATACTCGAAGCTTTCAACTATAAGGCACCGATAACTGAATCGAAGAAGAAAATATTCCTTCGTGAATGCAAGTTTGCCTCTACTTTGTTCCCCCATTTTTCATACTGGCCTCTTGGTCAACTTTTGGCGTATCTCGCCTTTCACATGAGAAACTCATGGGCTCGAGTAAATAGTATGTGCTAAACTAGTTTATCTAACGCGAACAACGTTATCATTTACTTAATCTCCATATCCGCGGAGGTCACTGGTGCCCAATTGGGAAGAGTCGTTCCTTAAATGGTCCTTGGTCCTTCTATTTAACACCTCTTATGCATCAAAACCAGCGCCTCTGTAAGCAGTTCAAGCGTCTCCTTGCTCCTTTGTCTGAACTGTCTCCATTCCCTAGAACAACATTGATCTAACCGAGGCAACGTGAAGGCGAATTTTGTGGAAGGGGTTACTCCATTACTAGTCTAGACACCTGATATGTTACCAAAAGCGCTCGAAGACTGGGTAATCTTCCCGTTTAACACTGACTGGGTGGAGCCGTTGGAGGTGACAGAACTGGGATTTTTAAACTGACTGCTTACTTCTTAAATTGGTTAACAATCTGAAGCGCTTCACATTTCCATTCCATTTGTTGATCAACTGCAAATGAAAACTGTAAATAAATTCTGATTTCAGGCATTAAAGAAAAGGCCTGTTTTTGCAAGGGTCTTGCGTACGGATGCCGTCAGATGGCTGAGCTCACTTTTTGTGCTACTCATCAGGACAATATCATCTGCGCACTCCAGATCAACAAGATATTTTGCCGGCTACTGCAAGCTTCGACTTCCCTCTATAACGAGTTCTTCGTATTTTCTAGGTTTAGCCCGGTTTCGACGAAGAAAATTGAGCACAGTGTTGAATAGCAAAGGCGAAAGCACGTATTTCTGGAGAACTACCTACATAGCTCTCCACGAATTTTGACAGCAGAACATAGTTTCTGCGTACACCTCTTCCAGAATGAAAACGATGTGCTAGGTATCCCATAGCATTTTTAAATTTCCCAATCGCTAGACGATGCATCGAATCATACTTATCCTTCCGTTCGCGGAAGTAGCAAACTAAGGCATCAGGGATCGTCGGTATTGCTCAATGATCGGAAGAAGAGTAAGAATTTAAATTCGCTGAAATACACCCTTCAGAAGCGTGATTGACTTGGCCAAAATCTCCCACCAACTGCCTGTCGGTCTTTCCAGAACTTGAATTAATAACTGCCAGAAAAACACACTACCAGCGTACAGGCAGCAAAGTCTTCGGTTGCATCAAGCGAATGAACCACCCTTTCCTACAGGGCGACTGTGCAGG